CCAATAATCCCCGGTCGGGGATTTAAGCTTCATGACCGGGACCCCTTCTGTTTCTCAGACGCCAAAAAGGGAAATCCCCGGCCTCTTCAGAAAAATACCCGGCCGGGTATTTGTGGTCATGGCCGGGTATTTTCTTCCTCTAGCCCACTTCAATCCTCGTTTGCTCCTTTCGACCCGAATCTCGTTCCTTCGCCTCGATTCCAACGCCGGGTCCTGAAATATGACACAAACACACAACCTCGCGTGAAATCGGCTTAAAACCCGAGAATTAACCTTTCAAACGGCTCAAGAATAGGGGTGAAAATACGTGTAATTATCGGTCTATCAGACATGGACAGGAAGGCAGAATTCATTGTGCAAGTCGGATTACTTGCGTTAGAAGAATCCTTATTAGAGTAGATTTCCTTTACCAATTATGTTCTAAGATGCTTCCTTGTTTAAGAAGGTTAATTAATTGTTCTTTTGGATTTAAAAGCCTTGCTCGAATCATTGTAAATGGACATTGAAGTTTTAATCGAAAATCCCCTCGTGGAGTTACCCCAAGCTTGAGAAGCTCGGTTTTTTTCTTGGTTGTTTGACCAAGGATTGCAAATCAATCGAACCAAGTATTCCCCTTTGTTGATTGATAGTTCGGCCCTAGTTAGCCTCCTTCCCTTTGTGTTAAGGTTGTTTACTTGGTTACCTAGTTTTCCATCTAATTTCAAACCTCTGTTTACTACGAATCCATTACCACCACTACCCCTTTTTGTTTCAAGCTGCGCATTCTGATTCGAGTTCCATCCTGGGGCTCATCACTCCATCCAATTTTCTCTTTCTTTTTCATTCTCTCTTTTATTTTCTTCATTTTCGTTAAACACAATATGAGCATGACACGAAGACGAGTAGGCACGAAAAATTCAAATCATGCCCGGGCGCGGGCCGGTCCTAGCAAAAGTAACAAATGAGCTTGCACGGCACGACACGAAAACTTATGGGACATGGCAAGCCCGACACGAAATAAATGGGCTTGAAGCGTTCATGTTCCGCGTCGGCCCACGCATGGCCCAACGCCCCATGTACATGCACAACCATATATAATCTGCTACATCAGCGCCACATCATTATTTATGGAAATCTTTAGATTTATCTCCTCTAAATAATGGGCTATATCTCTTTCGTTTTAAATCAAAAAAATTTACACATATAAATTAGATGAATTGTGTTCTTCAAAATGTTATCCACTCTGATATATATTAGAATATTAATTTTGAGGCATTTAGTACCAGTCTATATCGTGGTGGCATTGTTTGATAATACATAAAAACATGCCACGTGGTATGCAAGTGTATCATCGTGGTATGAATACCGGACTGTAGAATGGTTGAATACATGATAGTAGGAATATACTAACTGTGATTTAGAACTTTCAACACTGTGTACCACAAGATACCACCCCTATACCAGGGTGGTGTGGGGTGGTATTTTTTTTTGTTATGTATTTTTCCCCTAAATTTTTAGATCCAATATATCATGATGAACTCGTCCATTCTGTGCAAAAAATTTAAAATCGACTTAAAGAAGAAAAATATATCATATGGTATTGAGGTGGTAATGATTCGTACGAGCTACATAAAAAAAATTTCTTCAAATACATTGAAAATGGATACCGTTTTGTAGAGCACAACGAACTCGTTCCATCTATGCAAAAAAAAAAAAATGAAATCAATATTATAACGAAGAAAATAAGAGCCGATTAAAAAACTACAAAAAATAAAAGAATTTAATTGTAAACACTTAGATTTGGGGGCCCACTTAAAATGAAGGGTCCAGATTTAGTTATACAAGGTTATGCACCATAGGGTTATTCAGCCTATCCATAGCAAGTTAGGTGGAGAGCGCCAGAGTGGAGGCTTCCTTTCCTTTGAATGCATTGATCAAGACGGACCTGTAGTGTGGGTGGAAATGGTCATGTTCCTTTGAAGAGGACCGATTTGTGTGGTTTTCAAATGAGAATTGTGTCAAATCTGCAACCAAAAATTGTATTGAATTGAAAAAAGTTTCAATCATGATCGGATTGGATTGAAAATTGTATGGTTCGACTTTAATCTGAAAATCGAAAAGACACAATTATCTTCCCAAAAGGTTACTGTAGCTCATAATACATAAAAAAAAAAAAGATGAACTTTTATCTCCTCTAAAGTTAGGTAAGGAGAGCAGCGAGCGAGACGTCGTGGTTGGTCGTAGCCGGTGGAGAGAAAAATAAAATGGTAGGAACGATATTAGCATGCACCGAAACGGAAATGGAGACTTTTCATGTTAAAAATCCTGTTCTAGTTTTAACCGAACCAATATAAGACGGTTTGTACACTCTTGTTTAGAATAAAAAACAATATGGAGCTTTCGATTAAAACCAGACCGGTTTATACGATCTGATGTATATGATATAAACAATTCTACAAATGATTAACCAAGATACTACAACTATTAACTATGGAATCATGAAATACTAACTTCCACTATTCAAGATCCATTTCGGTTAGCAATAAGCTAAATAGTGACCCAATCAATAACTAACGATTATTAGGTAATGGATATGGTTATTGGTAAGTATTTTTTGATTAGCTGTTAAATACTCACCGAAACAATTAGCTAGTAACCCTATTTGACTCTACTCGTTCTATTGTACCAGACAAAAAAAAAATCTGGATGGGTAAACCTAGTTTTACTATTATTGCCCTAAATTAAAACATAAAACTACTAAATTACCCTTCATTAATCAAACAAGAAAAAAAAAAATATCCCTAAAATCCTAACCTTCTCCGACACAGTAGACTTCCTCCCCAAAGTCCAAACATCTTCATGTTCCTTCTCCCCGCCGTCGCCTACACTCTCATCCCCGATTTGCCAGCAGCAGTACCATCCACGAAGCCGCCGACCGCCAACAGATCTTCAAGTTTCTATTTGTTGGATGATAAAGTTTGCAGTTGGAGCTAACTTGTTAATCATACAAGGGTGAAGCCTGAAGGCGAGCGTCAACAGGGAGAAGAAATTGGTTGTATTCGTGGGAGCCGATGCGAAACTAGTACGTTTAGTATGGCTATATCAACCTACCCGTGGCTACCATCATCAACCTTTCCCGAATTCAATTGCGGGTGGTGATGTTGGGAGAATGGATCTTAGGTTCTTTTCCTCTGTTGGGACGGCGGATGGCGACCGGTGGGCCAGGTCGACAGTGGTGGGAATCACAGTTCACAGACAGTTGCTAATGTCAATTATAATATGAATTGTGTTTTTGACTTTTTTTAATAAAATATTTTTAATAATAAAAAGTGAAGGGTAAAGAGGTCACAATAACTTGTAGATTAGGACGATTAAATAAAATTAGGGAGACAATTAGAAACTCCAAAAAAAAAAGGATGGTGATCGGTAGTGGCCTTAAGTAAGGACAAATTTTTTTGTTTAAGCCTTAAGGATTATAAGTGGTAGGTAAGTATAGTGTAATGATTTATGTAAGGTGAGTCCGAATTTTTTTAACATCGTAAGAAAAATATAAATAACTTTTGTAGCGTCTCTGATGTGAGCCAAGTAATCTCGATTGCGGGCCCCAATCGAAGACGGGAGGGGAGGGAGTTGGCGGGACATGTCTCTGATGCGAGCCAAGTAATATCGGTTGCGGGGCCAAATCGAAGATGGGGAGGCGAGGGAGTTGGCGGGACAAGCAGCCGAGCGGGGCTTTTTGGCTGAAATTTCTCCAACCGTGGAATAGAGAAAGAGGACAAGGAAAAGGAGCAGAAGGCTCCCCGGTCGAAGGGTTAAAAACCCCCAACTGGGGATCTGCAGGGTCCAACCGGGGATCGGACCTAGGTGACAGGAATTTGTGTTTTCTTAAGTTATTTTGTTTGTTTAATTTTCCATACCTATATAAAGGCTGAAACTCGAGTTTTAGGGCTAGTTTTGGAAAATATTGATTTTTATCTTAGTTTTGATCTTTAGGCTTAAACTCTTTCTCTGTACCAATCAAGTTTTCACCTTGATTGTGGTCGAGATTTTACCTATTATATTGATAGATCCTTCTCCTGATTTCGTGTTGAGATTGCACTTTCAATTCCATCCTATCCCAAACAAACAAAAACACTAAAATATTTTTTCTAGTTCATTCGTGAAGCTGAGTTATTTTGATAACTAAGGGTACCAGATCCGTGGTAGTATAAGTGGTATCAGAGCCCGACTCAACACAATGGCGAGATCAAAGGCGAGAGGACATATTTCTTCTTGAACGGGGTTCCTAAGATATCATTGAAAAACGTAGAGAAGAGGGAGAATCGCTCTCTAAAGAAGAAACCCACTCGAATAACAAGCCATGGGAGAGTAGAGTTAGAGTCTTGCATAAACTATGAAGTTGCTTACTACGCAAATGGCCTAGATGGGAGCCTTGCTTCAGGCCCAGCAGGACGGTACCAAGGGTTAGTTGGTTTAGATGAATAAGAGCATAAATACCCTAATCACCTGGCTGGAGATGAAACCAAGGGGTAATCCACTAGAGAATCTAGTGGTTGTAGCGGCTCAGACTTGAGTTGAGAACCAAGAGGGCCCTAGAGTAGACCAAGTCTACCAGCCTTTTCCTGAGATTCCATATTAGCAGATGCAGAGGCATCTACACACGGAACAACTTCTTCAAGTATTCTCGTGGTACACACCTCCATTTAATGAGTATGAGAATGATTACCATGAGTATGGAGGAAGAACACTAGAAGCAATAAGTTATGGCGTTGATCCGATTCGAGGGATTAACCTCTCAATCCCGACGTCTCAAGGATCTAATAGTGATTCAACTTATCTTGATTGGAAGAGAGAGATGATTTATTATATGTTTTTCTAGTGCAATCCTTACCTAGAGCATCAGAAAGTTATTGTAGCCACCTATGAATTTACAAATTATGCAGAAGCTTGTGGGAATAGCCTAATTGGTTCATCTTTGACGAATAAGGAATATGAAGCCTGTTCTTTCTACATAGGAATAACTCAGAGGTTTGATTCGTGATCGATTAGTACCACCTTTTTATAAGAGGGATCTTCATGATGCATTGTAGGAAATTCGGCAAGGAGCACAAATGGTTTATGAGTATTTTAAGGAGCTAGAACTGCTCATGATGAGAGCATATGTGCGGGGGGACGAGGAAGCAACAATTGCATGCTTCTTAAATGGGCTCAACGAGAGATCAAGCACGAAGTTGAGCTTCGTCAGTTTGTGAAGTTGGAGGAACTGGTCCATTTGGCCACTAAGGTAGATAGGCAACTGAAGGTAAGTTCGGGAAGAAGGTATCCACCCTCTCCAAAAATTGCGGAGAAGATTACTGAAGCTAAAATGAATCACCCTAAGCAAGAAGGTGACAAGCCAACTGCCAGGAACACGGCCCTAGTCATCCAAGTTAGGAATGAAGGATCAACTGGAAGCATCCAATGCTTGGGACGAGGTCACAAAGCCAACCAATGCCCCAATAAGAAGAATCTAGTCTTGCAAGATGGAGAATACTTTTATGAGGAGGAGTATGAAGAGAAGCCCATGGGGAATGAATTTGGTTCTGATTCTGATTCTGAAGATGATGATGTGGATGAGCACATCAAGGCTGAAAAATCTCCACCAGGTAAACTTCTTGGCGTGAACATCAAAGCTTTTTAAAACACAAGAATTACCATCTCAAACGGCTCCATAATAGGGGTAAAAACATGTGCAATTAACGGCTTATCAAACTCCCCCACACTTAACCGTTTTCTTGTCCCCAAGCAAACCAAGTCAGACACAAGGTAAGCTTACATAATTCAACCATACCAACATTGGGGACAAATCATATAGGCACAGAACACGTGAATCATATTGGTTTACAAACATCAACACCTGAAAAACCTCAATAGCAACCTGGACAACCACCACAGAAGACATTCGAGAGCAGCAAAATCGAGTAAAGGAGGAGTCTCCCTTCTGTTCATCAACCAACATAGACTTGACTCAATCACTCACTGCATACAACTCAAGACATCAGAGTCAAGACCGAGCCATCTAGGTCCTCACCGGGTAAAGAGTGTAAAGAACAAGGAAATAAATCGCTCACTCTCGACCAGTGGGGTCAGGACAATTTGATGCGAAAAATGCGCATACTAATTCTCTCAATTCCTAACATCTCTTCACCATGACGGCAGCCTCTAAAGGTTAGAGTTCACATAAATGGTTGTCATCACTAACTAATCAGGAGGTCTTAGACACAGGTTCAAATGACTGGCTAGGGTCTTGGACATGGGGAAAAGGTCTTTTAGGTGGTGGAAGTATTCATAGCTCAAGGTTCCACATTTCCAAACCCAACAAACTCACAGTCAATCAAACCAGTACTTTCTTTCTGCTATTCCACATTACTCAAATTCTTTAGAGAACAAGAGCGAAGGAGGTCACATAAATATCAGTATTTCTAAGCCAGACTGCTAAGAAACACTACTTAATGGGCACCTATTCAGATTTTTGGTGGTGGCTCACTTTTGCTTCCATTTTTTTCTTTGTTTTTCTTTCAGTTTTTTTTTATTTCTTAAGAGAACCACCACCTCTGCACATTTTCAAACACCTACCCAACTTTTTAAGAACTACCTCCAACTCTCACATTATATTTAGCAGAAACAGCAGAGAACATGTAAAAATCACTCTGTGGAACCTTCTAAAAGATGCAAAAGGGTGACTTTTCATTGAAGACCGAAAGAAAGGATAACACACGGCTCAAAGGGGCTGACTAGGGGTTATGACACACCAGGACAATCAATTTGGTCGTGGGCTAATCCTATGCCTCCATCATCTTAGCTAATGACAACGTGAATGCTACACATCATGGAAGAGGGAACTATCGCACAAGAAAGAAACGAGCTGGCTCAAATCTCACATGGCTACCTATATGCTCTATCTCTCATTCTGATTCCCTGAACTAGATGCATAAGAGACTGTCAAAAACAAGTAATCAATCCAAGTCACAGTTGGTAAGCAAACAGTTGAAAAACTGAACCCTACACAATTCTACTGCACGTCTCAGTCATCATTATAGGTTGTCCTAATCACCATCCAGTTGTCATGCATTAATCCGAAAACCATTCAATTCACCAATCAAAACACAGTGCCAATATGATCAAACAGCCGTACTTGGAGCCCTTAAATCTTGAGATTTGGACAGCGGACTAGGCTCCAAGCACACGTATATACATTCCAACCGATACAAAGCACCCCCCACACTTAAGCACGACATTGCCCTCAATGGAGCAGAGGGATAGAGAAGGGGAATGACGTTACCGGATTGAAATGCTGCGGGAGACTGGAAGTGGACCAGTCAACGGGGGACATATGGAACAAATAGACAGTTCTGCACTAAGGGAACATCAAGAACACACTAGCACATGTTCGTTAGGGATTAGAGTTGGCCCAGATGGACACAAAAGAAACAATCCACAAAAGAAAAGAAACAAAACAAACGACAAACTCAGTTGAAGCTCCTCAAACACATGGAGCAAACAAAAAAAAGTCTAAAACAAAAACACACACTGAGGGGCGACAAGTACAACCTACTCGTCGCCAAGGTTGTCCAGATCGATGTCATTCATGAATGCATCATCGTCATCAGCTGGTGGAGGTGGAAGTGGAGAGTCCTCCCAGGGAGTCCTCCAGACTGGCTGCTCGCCCGGTAGCAGCTGGAGCAGATGCCCCTGGACCTCCTACATGCGCCTAGATCGGGTCTGCTCTCTCTCGATGCAAGCCAGGGTCACCCCCTGCTGGGTCTCCATCCTATCAAGGCGCTCATCATACGTAGCCATCCGGGTCTGGTACTCGGCATGGTGAGCCGAATACTGCTGCTGAAACTGGAGCTGATAGTCGTAGAGCTGCTGATTCTGGAGACGCAGCTGCTCGAACTGATGAGTGAAGTAGTCCTGGCCGGGGAAGGTGGAGCTGTCACCCACGTACTCGAAGGTGGTGGGGCGGGCGGCAGCAATATCATCCACATCCTCGGGATGGACCTCCTCATCAGCCGCACCCTCGGGAACCTCTGGCTGGACCTCCTCTGGGATCTGAGGTTGAGGAAACCCCTCGATCCACATAACACCTTGCTCTTCTCGAAGCAGGTGCATTTTACTGATCGTAAACCGGCCAAAGGCACTGGTGTCTCCCTGCTCTGTGCACCCTTGCAGTGATCTCCAGAAATAAGTGGCCAGGCGGGTGATGAGGGGAGTGCAGTGGAGTTTCTTCAGCTCGGAAGCACTCTTGTCGAAGGTCCTCGCCACCACCGAGCCCAAGTGGAGGGGATGATCCCTCTGGCGCATAGACTGGATGAAGTACATGGCTCTCTTGGTGATGGCGCTGGCACTGTCCGAGGCAGGAGTGTAAGACTTGGCCAGCATGTCCTGCAAAAGAACAACCCAAAGTGGAACCAAAAGAGCCAAGGACAATGTTAATCATACCCCCACACTTAAGAACAGAAAACAGCCGAACCATGGTTTCATCCATAGTTCGGGGGTCAAAAACTCGATCAAACAAGCATAATCGGGGTGGGGGTGCACATCCATGGGAAAGTAGGCAACTCAAGGTTCACATCCATACCAAACACACTCCCACCGACTCCCACAAAATGGTATGAAAACAGGCATTTTATCGTACACCTTGTGTGCACTATTAAGATAAACATGGAATTGAAAAAATTCTCGCACACAAGGGCTCAAACCAGCAAGGGGGACAATGCCCAACACAATTCATACATACTCCAAGCATTCCCCTCAATCAATTGCACACAATTCACATGATTCAAAGAGGTTCCCTAAACATGCACTCTAACACCCAATTGTCCATAAAAAACATAGTTAAGGTCAAAATCAAACCTGGAGACTCAAGTAGAGGTGTAGGGGATGATGAGGGGAATGCAATGGAAGCGACGAAATGTAACACCCCGAATTTTGGGTTAGGTTCGACCGTATGATTGGATCGATGATTACGTACGAAGGGTTGCAACCGCGGTTTATGAATAATAATAATAATAACTATATTATTATTATTAAAAAAAATATACATATAAACCGAGAGGGCGGTTGGCCCTCAATGGTTTTCCAAAAAAAAAAACCCTCGGCCCATCCAATTTCCGCCGCCCTCTTCCCAAATCGGTTTCCCCACCCCCGCCGCCAGCACCCTCTCCAGCGAACAACTCCCCGCCGCCATTATTTTTACCCAACCGCTCATCCTATTCTAATTCTCACCGCAAGCCTCAAAGTGACACAATATTCCGTCCCAGTTCTCACGAGAGCCTGATGCTGGTCAACTCGGAGACCGAACTTCCTTTGTGGAGGGATTTCAGTTACGAGTGCCATGGAGTTTATTACGATTGTCGGTGAGAGGGAGATTGTGGCGGACCAGAAGGAGAAAATGCCATTAGGTGGGAAATGGTAGTGGGTTTTTTTGGCTTGGAATTAACGTGTGAGGTAATGATATCATGACCCCACCATTTAGTTGCTTTTTGGTTTAAGTTAGAAGACAGTGGTTTGTGGATTTCTTGGAACAGTGGAAGTTGGCAGTACGTGGAAAGGGGGTTGAGATGCTAGCTAGTTGGCTCAAGCGAGGTCTAGGGAATTGGAGACCAGGGCACAACAGACTTTCAGTATTAAGGTGAGTGTAAAGGGGGTAAATTCTACGCCTTACGATTTTCAAGTGTTTGCCTTGAGTATTTTCGAGTATTGCTTTACGTAATGTATGTGCAGTATTTGATTCATGTTTGAGATTGCATGATTATGGTTGATGATATGTGCCTTATTTGAGTTATGACTTGAAGTGAATGGTTATTACTTACTTTGAAATTTTATGAGTATAAGTTGTTAAAGTTTAAGAAACAAGCTCTTTTTAAGAAGTAATTCACCTTCAAGAAGGTGAAGTCGTTTTAAGTATTTTTAGTCGGTAGCGCCAGTCCGTTGCCATTTGAGTTTTTCAGATAGAGCAGCAGTTATGCTCTTGAGATCCTTGAGACAGAGCAGTAGTTATGCTCTTGAGATATTTAAGTTGAGCAACAGTTATGCTCTTGAGAGACGTGGTGAAGAGCCACCACGATAAGTTTAAGATGTTAGGGGGATGAATCGTTACGACTTCCCTAACTAAGTTTAAGTTTAAGGAAAGCCTTTATGGCTTCTCATACGTATGAGTTGGCAACCGGACTAGCTAGTGAGGGATCCCAGTGTCAGTCAAGTATTTTAAGTTGAGATTTGAGCTTTAAGAATGGAGAGTAACAGTTACTCCCATACAGTTTTAAGAGTTAAGATTTTAAGAATGGAAGTACAAACAACTTCCCTCAGTTTGAGTTTAAGTGTTTGAGAAGAAGTGCAAAATTATTAGAAAGTTTAAAACGTAAGGGCGTAGACTGACCCTAACTCACTCACCAGGCCTTAGTAAGGGAATGAGCGAGAACCAGATCGGTAGCAGCTAGCTAGAAGAGCAGTTAGAGAGCAGCGAGTTCGAGAGGAAAATTTCGAGAGCAGCCAGTTAGAGGAGAGCAGTATAAGCGTCACGCAGGATGCTTAGTCAAGGTTTTCAGTAGCATCAGCTTCAGAGTTTATTAGTTAATTACTTTTATGATTATGAGTACAGACTGGAGATTATTTTGAGATCAAGTTGAGTTTTTAAAGGTTGAGTTTAATTTGCCCACATGTTAGGGCTTTGCTTTGAACTACAAGTGTGTGTTTTCAGTATTTTTTTTAT